TCAGAAATACGAAGAGTGTGATATTTTAGTAACTCCTGAAGCGTATTCACTCAAAATAGACATATGAAATGATATTTAGGCAGAAAATAAGAATATTATAAACTTTTGGAAAATGGGCCTAACCCGCCCACTTATGATAATATTTGTATATCTCGGTAACCGCTTCTCCATTTTCTCCCAAACATGATACAGTTCTTGATCCTGTTCAAACATACCAAACGGCTAAAAGGTTTTAATATCGGACAAAAATCACGCCCACATCCCATATATCGATAAATCAGTAAATACTCAAGCGAACTTATTCAAAATTGATATTTGCCATAAAACTTTAGCAAGAAATGCGTTTATAATCAATTTTTCGAAAATGGGCGTGCCAGCGCCCACTTATGACCACATACATATGTGTATCTCGGTAGCCGTTCCATTAAATTGTACAAAACTCGGTATAATTATTCTTTTGACACACAAAAGTAAGATGTTGAAAATTTTTGAAATCAGACTAAAATTACGCCCGTATTTCATATAACGGTAACTGTGATATTTCGAAATTTAAGGACGCTAATATACACAAAAAGAAATAAGATTATTATGGAATTTTGGAAAATGGGCGTGATACCGCCCACTTGTAACTATATAAATTTATCTCATTAAGTCTTCTAACTGAACATACTATGTTTGAAATAGGGGTAAAACCACCCGTGCTTACCATGGAACGGTAGTTTTCGGAAGAGTGAAAAACTTTATTTAATACGTGCGCCGGGTATTAAATGTTCGGCTTTGCCCGAACTAAACTTTTTTACTTGTTTTAGTATGTACATGTGCAAATAAGACCTCGACTTTCAATTCAAATAGCATTTGCAAAACACATTAAAAATAAAGCAAAAGGACAAAATCAGAAAGAATTGCGAACCGCGTTAAAAAAGTAACAGACGGGGATTTCACAAAAGGCCGTGTTAAAAAATCCGCGATAAAAAAAGTGATATCGCGTAAAAAAGACACCGGGGAAATGTGAAAACTCCACGCTAAAATGGGGTGGACTGTAATTAGTTTAGAAGGGTTCGTAGGGATGCAAACGATGCATCGATATTTTTGAAACATCGATAATATCGGTTCAAAGTTCGATGTTTGCCATCGATGTTTACAATTTCCTAAAATCGCTAAATTGACGATACATCGATGCCAGTTTCAGCGATGTTTTAACATCGACTTTAGTGTGAGTCAGACTTGAATTCAACTTTCGATATTAAAAATGCGAACATAATCATTAAAAAAGGATCGGGTTCCCGTTGAAATTTCAACGAAATTGGGGCTTGGATCTTTAGGCTCAGCGAACTTACAAGGAAGGCAAAGGAATGGTAAATAAATACAGGGAAATACATCCATATGTAAGTATTTTTCTAATTGAATTACAGAGAGTATGAATTAAAAAGTATTAAATTTTTCTTTCAATGTGACTACAACCTAACAAATTTGGAAACATCGGAAACCATCGATATATCGATGTTTTTCTGGCGATGTATTTTAGCATCGATGTTCATTTGTCCGATGCATCGAAACATCGATGTATCGATGTTACTCCCCAAAATTTGCATCCCTAAGGGTGCGTTAATATTAAGCTTAATTATAGTTTATAAATACAGACATATTCATACATATATGCCCAAGAAGACAAGGAGAAACGCCCGACACATAAGTCAATGTTAAAATTTTGAGCAAAAACGAATAAATTTATGACACATTCAAATACAAAACTGTTGATAAAAGAACTTACTTTGACCATTTAGGTAATTATCAGTAATTATTATAACCTAACATTGATTTAAATTTGCATGTATGTACATATCGATAGTCATCTGCACTAACGACACAATTCAAAATTAAATAATCAAAAACCATTTCCACTATTAAGTAGCACAAGTTTCTAGTCCTCGTCTAATTCACATCTAATCCTTTCTGCTTTCTTTTGTAATCCTTACTAATAGGGTTGCCAGATTTTTTTGTGCGAAATCAGTTCCTTAGGGTCGGTTGTTCAATGCCTCGTTAACACGAGTCGGAGGTAGAAGCTCTGGTTGAATACAACTACCACTTCATCGATCGCATGTTATATGCATGAAGTCGAAATCGTCGATATTAATGTTTAACTGGGACTTAGACTTTTTCATGCTATAAAAATCAGTACTTTTCAATACACTTTTATTCAAAGCAAAATTATGAATGTAAGTAACAGAAAATACCTTAAAACGCCGGAGTAATTGTTTTTACCAATATTTTGGTATAAAAATAAAAAGTATTTCATAAAAACTAAAAATTTTATTAATGTTAACATGAGTGTACACATTAACATTTAAAATAAAATACCCTTATAATATCATTGTACACAGGAGACTTAAAATTTTTTTAAATATCTTAAAAATATTTTCAAACTAAAACTATCTTAAACCTCTCTTTTCTCTTTTTCATATTTATGTATGTGTAGTTTAGAAATGAAGTTATTTAAAAATCATTTCGATTGATACCGCTATTGTAATAATTCATTGAAATGAATTGAAGCCTTTTCAAGACTCTTTCGATTAAAACCTAAAATGTAATTCTATTCGAATTTAGATTTAAAACAAGTGGAAACCCTCTTCAAAATCCTCAGAAAACTACATTATCAAACTGAACATTTCTAATTTTAACTCGACTTTTAAACATGTGGCAACCCTCTTCGAAATATTTTCCTACTAAAACCCTATTAAATCCCTCTTAATGTCCGACGTCCATATTGTGATACATATTCCAATAATCAAATTCCTTTAATTCAAGAAGAATTAGATTTTTCAAATAGGTGGAAACTCTCCTACATGTAGTTTAGAACTCAAACCCTTATCAAAAACCTTTCGATTGATACCCATATTGTAGTAATTCATTTAAATTAAATGAATTAAATTTTTAAACGGGTGGCAACGCTTGTAAAACACCCCAGTAATATTTTAAATTTTCAATCTGAAGGTTTCTTAGCAATCTTTCATTTCACACCCATATATTAATTTTTCCGACAGCTGGCTATTAAAAATTTAAATTTTGGCTTTTCGAACAGGTGCCAATCTTTTCCAAAATTCTTGCAAACTACAACTTTTTAAGCCTATTGTCATCCATTCTTTAATATAATTTTCAAATAAATAATTCCCTTAATTCAAGTCGAATTTGATTTTTTAAACAGGTGGCAGCCCTCCTCCATGAATATGGAATTGATTTTCTATACATATACAAGTTCCTGTACTCTATCAAAAATATTTTCTGAGATATGATATGCGGTATGAAAATTCCGTTTTATGTGAGGTACCACGCCCCCTCGTATAATCGAGATTAAATCTATCCTATATTTTAAGTTGGGCTAAATGGCACCAGTGTACAAAATTTAAAGGGAATCTGTTGAGTAGTTAAAGCGTGAAAGCGTAACAAATAAACAAGCTCACTTTCGTATTAATAATATTAGTAAGGAAAAATTATTGTTTCATTTAAAATTCAAGGAATGCAAGCAAGTTTATTTAACAGTTTTTTTTTAATTATGTAATATGAAAAAAGTTCCAAAAAGGTTGATATATTTAGTGCACTAAAAAAATTTAAATGAATTCGTAAAATTATCGAGGTTTGCCTTTCTAGAGTTAAATAGTCAAAGAATTTTTTACAATTCATTTTAAAATTATTTTTAATTTGGAGTTCACTTTCAGCAATTTTAATTAGAAGTCGATTCCTCTCCTTGCGCCAGGAAGAAAACTTTATACTTAACATCTTTTCAGTTGCTTCGTTTGAGGGTACTATTGAAAAAAAAATCAACATATTTTTTTACTTTTTAAACATTTCAACCTTTTTTCCTCATGTTTTAAATTACTTTTTCAACTACGCAAAAACTTTGAAATGCTAAATGAATAAATCAGTAAATTGGGAATAAATAAGTTTACGTCGTAGGCAATAGCCATTCAATTATACAAATTTGTTGTTAATAAACTTAAAGTTGTTTTCAAGATAACTAACAACACTCGACAAAAACCTGTCAGCGCTCTTTTTGAATAATTTATACTTCATCATATTATCGCAACTGGTATGTAACGACTCGGTGATATGCCCATAAAACGATTTCTCTTTTTGTTGTATTAATTTCTTGCGCATACCAACATTCTCTGAAACATGGCAACTATAAATCATTATTTTTTTCTCTCACTTTTTTACAGTACAGTTTAACGAAGTTCCCAACTTGTGTAAAAACCTTTAAAATCTCTAAGGTATTTTATTTGTGTAAAATAGTATTACACAAACAAAATAGGTACATACATGCATGGGAACAAATTACCGAGTACCAACCACGGTGGGAAGACCCCTATTACAAATTTGTATGCTCAGAATTGAAAATTCAGTACAAATTTTGAAAAACCAGGACATTAGCGTACTGATTGTAGAAATGGACAAAAGTACGACAGTTGAAAAACTAGTACTGTACTGATAAAATCAGTACGTCGGGCAACCGTACATACTACTGACTTTAGTAAGGATTGGACATAGATTAGACAAGGATTAGAGACATGAGCTACTTAACGGTAGTAAAGGTTTTTATTTTCGGAATTTTCAATTGTATCGTAAACGCAGAGGCCCATCGATATGTATGTAATTTTCTTCAAATATAAAGAATTAACAAAAATAATAATTAACAATGAAAGCCATTTAAACCTAAGACGTTCAGTATACATATGTATTTACATACATAAGTATGTATCTAACAACAGCTAGCTAAGTAAACAAACTTCATAAATGAAACTTAATTAGCACTTAGTTTAAAGCCATGTCCATTTAAAATTTCGTGCTCACATATGTACATAACTACATACATATATAATTGTAGTCTCATTATTTTTGTCTAAATATCTTGTGAATTCGCATAACCATAAGAGTTTCAGGGTTTGAATTTTATTTTTATACATAAGTATTTGTGTTGAAATGTTTTTTCTTTGTAATTTTCACCAATACTTTCCGATATTTTACCCTTAGAGTTTACAAAACGAAGGAGCGCAATTTCGAGGAGTTATATGCGAGCACTCGGGCGCTCGAGCACTCAATACCTTCAACAGCTAGAGTGCGTGCAGCATTCTTGGCAGATACGGTGGAACCGATTTTTGGTAGCTTTACAGACAGCCCCTGACCAAAGCCAAAGCCAGCGCCAGCGCCAACTTAGCTTGATCTGGGACGACATGCAGCTGGAAGAGCGACTGTCAATGTTCGTTGCAAAATTTTCAATGCATGTGGAGGTGCAGTTTTCGCTGGCATTGGTGATGTGCTATGTATATCTGTTGGTTCGTTTGTTGAATTTGGAATTTTTACAGTTACGCTAACAATCGGCACCCAGCAACACGCGCAGTAATGGGCACATAAAAATTTACACGCGCGTTCAGATCGTTTGTTGTTATAAACCGTCTATTACACAGGCAAACTCGCACATACCAACACAAATGCATAGGTAAAAAAAATCGTGGTATTTTCGTTTGAATTTCTTGATTTTGGCGTTTTCACATTGCTATTCACTTTCCTTTTATTAACGATAACTTTTCATTCATTTTCACGCAGTTGCACTCTTTCTTATCTTTTTCAGCGGCATTTTAATTTGGTTATCCTTTTAAAAGCAAAGCGGAGCATAAATGTTAACATTAAATTAGGCTCATCCAAACTAGCAAGAACACCAAATTTTCGTAGTCGAATGCAAGCGATATGAAAATGCAATGAAATCGAAGGCACGAACCGGCGCGGTTCTTTGTTAACAGGGTGATAATAAAAACAGCTACGACCGGAAATCACTGCGCCCCTGGTTAAACAGGAAACGTATGATCTGCATATGGTACGTTTGCGCCAAAAGGTATGCATCAGAAAAATGCTCACTCATTGAAATGCTGCAGAAACCAAAATTGTACAACTAAGGGCACTCGATGAATTTAGCAACACAAATTAACCGACTTATAAATTATGGAAACAGCAAATATAATAATAAAGAAGCGTCGGCAAAGCACCGACTACATTTCTGTGTGAACGTTTAATACCGGTTAGAGTATTTGTAGTATGTAATGAAATGAAGCTTTTTGTTGTAAATTTAACACTTTCATAGTTTGGGTTATTAAGAATTAGGGCGTCGGAAAAGTAAATGCTCTATCTAATATTGTAGAGTTTCCGTTCATATGTATGTATGTATGTATGTATATTAATATAACATTTTTCACATTCGTTTTTGTAGATAAGCTTTGCACATTTAGATGTTGCGTTTGGATTTTTTCGTGTTTTTTTTCCTTTATTTGATGACTATACTTACACTCGGAATTCCACTTTCATCTATTATCAGTAGAGATTGAATGTGATTTTATGGCTTTGCTAGTTGTTTTATGCACTAGGTTTTGACTTGGTAATTTTAAGCATATACATATTTACATACCTGCACACGTAAATATGCACATACAATTAAATATACTTAAGAGGAGATATGTAGGAATGATGAAAAATCAAGTTTTGTTTTGTCAAGAAAGTACTCGTAACGAGCTCCGACAAAAAAATCACTGAGATCAAAACTGTTTCTAAAAATTAATTTTTTTTTACGTTGAATTGGAGCTTTCCATATACATATGTACATAAGTATGTACATTAGAGTGGTCCAAAATAATAAAGTCGAAATTTTAATGCCGCCACCCCCTAGGCATGTTCTGAACCGAAAATAAATATAACCCTATTTTTTTATTTTGAAATCAAAAACTATTTAGAGAGTTCTCACAGCGCTCAAAATTTTCCATGTATTTTATATGGGGAAAAAACAAATTTTCGTAAAAATGGTATAAAACTCTTGAAAATCAATATTTTTCAATCGTAAAACTGTGGTTCTCTTCAGGGGACTTCAAATATTAATATCCAATTGTTTATTTAACCACTTTTTATGATCAAAGATTTTTTTTATTGGTCCCCCCCCCCCCATTGTATTTTCTGGGACCTATAAAATATAGTTACCATGAAAAAATGGTTAAAGGAACAATTGGGTATTATTACTGGGAATCTCCTGAAGATAAGCAAAGTTTTCCGATCGAAAAATATTGATTTGAAAGAATTCTACACTATTTCTACGAAAAGTTGTTTTTTCCCCATATAAAATACTTTGAAAACTTGGAGCGCTTTGAGCACTCTTAAATTTTTTTTATTTCAAAATAAAAAAATAGGGGTATATTTTTTGTCGGTATAGAACAATTATAGGGGTGGCGGCATTAAAAATGTGACCTTATTTTTTACATACATTTTTGGACCACTTTAATGAACATATGTATATACATACATATTTTAACTATTTTAAGTTTAAAAAATTTTATATACTTCTTACAAATGCTAAAATTTTATTTTTAACTAAATTAAACTAATTATACAACACCTTTAACTCTTAGATGCTGCATTTTTTAAAATTTTCCCGTCGTAAAGCGGATTTTATTTTCAGTCGAAATAAAAAGTATGTATGTATTCGCAAAAATTTATAATTTTTTAAAATTTCACAAACAAACTGAGGTTGGCCATAAAATCACATTTCACTTAATTTGAAAATTTTTGAACAGGAGATATGCGTAAAGAAACTGTTTAGTGGGGCACACATTCGCATAAATTTAATGAAGTTATTTACCAAGACCCGAATTTAATTTCTCCGAGACTCTTTAATTGTTATTTTTATTTTTATTTGTATTTTGTTTCCATATTATAGAACAGAGGCTACTAACGAAATATGCGTGTAAGACAGAATTTAATTCGTTTCTACGCGGTTAAAGTCAGCACAATTTTCCGGAAACAATGAAAAAATCACTCAGAATTGTACCGAAAAGTTGACCGGGAGAACTTTATCGCTTCTTTTCGATTTTATATAAAATTTATATTATAATTTTATAACGATTAATTTTAAGCTTTAAATTTTATTTAAATATTTTGCTCAAAAAGACTGCAGAACGAGCTCGCGTGAGAGACGACGTACAAGTGTACGCTAAACGTGTCCACCTGACCCAAGACGAATGTCTCACAAGAAGGGCATGACAAGTCCTTTTATATTATAATTTGCGCACAAATATTTTATAACTAAACACCGCCGAAGGAATCGCACTGCCATACTAAACTCACTGCCAAGCAGACAAGTCAAGCAGCCAGCCAGCGCTCAGTATGGTCCAAGATGGCCCTTCTGCTTCCACAAACTCACATACTTGTACACTTGGACGAGTAGTACCCACTCGCTCAAAGATAAGTAGTGAGTGGTCGCTTAACCGGCCGACCAAGTTGGAGCATCCCCACCTTCGCATTACTCTAAACTCACTCAGTATATGCGATGCGGTGAGGCGAGCGATACAACAAATTCCACATTTTCTATAATGTATAAAAATGCCCCTTGCTGCAGCATCTTCCCATCAGTACTTCGAAGGAAGCAATGGAGAATTAAGTAGAAGAAGAAAAAGACTAAATCCAAGCAGAACCAAATACGAAGCAGAAGAATATCTGCCGGAAATAGCCAAGTAGTGGCATAGAGGAATACAAAAATGAATTAAGTAGAATAGACGAAAATTGGGAGACCGAATATGGGAACGTTTAAGGAGCACAGAACCCAAGAAGTCAAATGAACAAAAAAACCGACTGAAGGTTCGAGCAGGCCGAATGAGCAGAGCGTACGACCGACTCTCATATGAATACCTTGGAGTACTTATGTACGTACAGAGTTACAAATCGACTAAGCAAACGTCCCTTCGTCCATTATTTTGACTGTTCGTCTCACGTATGACACGTTCGTCACATGTATGAGCATATTTTGAAGTCTAATATGCAGCGCGGCATTATTTTTTGCATTACTTATACAAATTATAGATACATATGGATGTAAGTATTCACATACATATATGAATGTATGTATGTCCACCAAAATACATGCATATGTATGTACAGATATATAATATATAAACATATGTATTTAAAGTATAAAATGCTGTATAACACAATCTTGGTCTGTATGTTTGGAACACTCGTATCAACTTCTCAATATCGCGTAACTAGATATATGTATATGACAAAGGCGCATGCACATATTAATGTAGCAAAGCAACCTGAAGGTCTAGTTGCTTAGAAGCCGAAATTGAAAGCCAAGACCAAGAAAGTGACGGGGAACAAACTGCTACCGCGAGCGATTTTGGTTCGACATCGGCAAGTGCTAAACTCACCTCACACTAACAAGATGTTCTTTTAGTGATACTAAAGGCGCTGCTACAGACAGAAAGAGCGCCATATAATTTATTCCTTTGTATGTGTACATGTATTAAAAGTGCATATATGCATATGTAAGTACATACATACTTATTTTCAAGCAAAGAAATCGTGCTCATCTTTGCATGCATATACAAATCTACTCATGTACGTATGTAGTTGTTAATGTAAGTACGGGAGAGCTTAGTATCATAACATTACATTTAAGAGTTTGCGCTAAGTAACTGTGGTTTGGGCCATTGACTGGTCGGTGGGAAGGCTGCTAAATTCTGTAAAAGCATTATTCTAACTGTGGATTGCGAGTAACGCGAATTTTTGTTTGCAAACAAAAAAAAATGTATAATTGCTCACAGGACGGCGCTGATTTGTTATTTTTACTTTGTTTACACTTATAAATTTGATCACGTTCGCGATTTCCTTGAGCGAGATGGGTGTTGTTTATACATATTAAAAAATTTCAAATAAGTTGGTTTATAAGTTTTCGGCGTGTAGTTGCATTTACCATTCGATTGTTGTTATGTTTATTTTTAATTTATTTTTCAATCTTCGAGCGCACTTTCTTTTCCCGGACTCAAAACATATATTTTACTTCTGGTTGGATTTATTTCGCTTTTTTAATTTTTAGATAAAACGCACGATACCTAACTGTTTTAAAATATTTTTTACTGCAGTATTACGGCTTATTTTCTGGTCGAAGGAAGCTCGTGAATTATCCACATACACACCATAGCAAAAGAGACTAAAAACGGACTGATTTACAGAATTTGTTGTGACAGTCAAAGACTCCACATAGCACAAAATAAAATGAATCCAAATCACCTTAAGAGCAGTATACCTTCTACACACAGTTAGGTAAACCAAATGGCAGCGAGAGGCATGCGGCAAGGAATGAGCTAAGCAAAAGACAGCGTGGCATTCTGAGGAGAGAAGGAGTGATAAGAAATTGAGAACTGAGGATATATAAGTATAAGCAGATGCAGAAGGCATGAAATAATGGAAAGACCGCACGCGCATTAAGCAGGTTTTAGCAGCAGGGAGATAAGAGTGACGCAGCATCAAACAGCACCCGCTTACTGCAAGTTTGGTACACTTTCTTCGAATTCACCGCATACTCGGGCACAGTGTCACAAACACATGCGTCAGAAGGGGCCAGAAGACTTCATTGTTGAATAACACGCCGTCTTTTCACACTCACGCACACACGCATATGCCATATCTTAGTCGAATAAAATATAATATTTATATGTGTATGTAAATTTATAGTGTATTAAAGAGATACTCGCCACCCCCATCCGGCAATGAAAGTTGATACTGACGGAGACACTGCTAACGGCAACAACAATAATAATCTGCTACTACACACAAAATTAGATAAGTTCTCACACATGTACAATTAGATAAGGAGTTTCTCAAACGCTTGCTCGAGAGCACATATTTTAAATTCTGTTTTTTTTTTTTTGTTGGCGTACGTTTAGCTCCGTTATTGACTCTGCTAATAAAGATGCAAGAGTAACACTTTCCTAAAATAAGGTAGTTCGTGAAAGAAGGCAATGGGGTGGTGGGTGCGAGCGGAGAACAGAGTACAAAACAATACATATAATACATAACACTATCCTTAACCGAGCGCATGCATCGTCTAAGATAAACTAGAAGAGCGTCCACTTCGCCGTAACGTATACGCAACCATTGCATAAGGTGCTGAAGGGCTGTTCGTGGTGCATGGTGCATTTGCGTGCTACTAATGAAACTCTGATCTACGCACAAATTCATCTACATGTCTCGCTACTGCGGATGAGTGCGAAGAGAAGAGCTGCAAAACGACGCAAAAAGACAGGGGTGGTCGCGGCCGTTGAGATGGCATCTGCGGCAATCTAAACAATGAGTGCTCTCATGCTAAGCAAGTTGCCAAGCCAGCGATGTGATAGAATATTTGCCTTCTATTCTACTGAATTGAGTTGAGTTCAATTGTGTTGAGTAAGGTTTTTTGTATCTACATAAGTTAATAAGTACGAAGTTACTCGCTTCGAAATATGTTG